GTACAATGCTGCCTGTGATAGGATAATATCCATGCACCTACAGGGAAGCCCAGTTAATACCACTATTATTCAAATTTACACACCAAACACTAAAGCCAGTGAGGATGAAATAGAAGAATTCTACCAACTTCTGCAATCTGAAATTGATCAAACATGCAATCAAGATGTATTATTACTGACGATAAGACTGGGTTTAAAAAGAGTGATCTTAGATATGCATAGAAATAAAGAGAATCCTAACTTATTTTCTGAAACACTACATAAGATTTACTAGTAAAACTGAAATAAAGTCCTTTACCTTTTATCATATACATATGATGAGTTGGTGACTTTTGAAGATTTTTATTCACATTATCTTAAGTATGGACTTTAAGACTTATAGATGGTTTCTACAAAAAATACTCACATTTGTATGGACATTTCCAAGTAGGGAATTAATTTAGACTTGGCTCAGGTAAAATTCTATAACATGTGTATCAAGCTGCAGCAGAAAGTACTTCCCTAGAGACTCCTTATCTTACCTCAACTACCTTTTCATTTGCTATTTCCAGCTGAGAAAGCAGCTCTTGGGTATGAAGTTTCTGTCGACTCAGCTCACTCCTATTAAGCAACAAAGGAGAGAGAAAGAGAAGTCTTTAATATTATTGTTCAAAAATCTAATAAACTAGAATAATTGTTAGTGAGATACATTTATATGTTCTGAAAAGTATCACCGTGAAGTACAAAATAAAGACACTCATTAAAAAACCTTATCTCAAAGGATTCATTTAGTTATAAAATGCACATCTATTTTAAAAGTACAACTGTATCTTCAATATTATTATCTAGAGATGTTATTAGGCATCAAAATGAAAGTCCATTAATATTCAACAGATGCAGTATTTGTTATTACAAAATCTCACAAGCTTTTTATAGTATGCATATTGAAGACTCATATGCTTCTTAAAGGAACTGAAATCTTGTAAATTTAAGGTAATGTTAATCACTCTCAGCATCATTTCAGTGCAGTGTGTTTGGGATTGGTATTTGTGCATTTATACTTTTTATGCTCTGTTGGATGGAATTATCTTATGCCAAGAACCTATCTTCTATTTTTGGTGTTACTCATTATAACACACACAGATATATGTTTTTGTATGTACAATTCAGTGACACTGATTCAATTCTTACAGTTGTGCAACAACCATTCTCATACATTTTCTTCTGAGTTGTTCTTCCCTCATTAGCATTTTCCACCAATAAAGTTCCTATCTAATCTACTGAGTTGCTGTTGTCGCTCTGATCCCATATAGTGTTCAAAAGAGCATAATGCTCAAGGCAGATTATTATTATTTTTTCAACTAGTTAAGGCACAGTGTCAGGGGCTATTTTTGGTTTAAGGTTTAAAGATGATCTCAGGGCAATATTTTCAGGAGTTCATCCAGTTCCTTTGGCTCCAGGAAATCCATAAGAAGTTGAATTTCAGTTCTGCATTTTCCCTCTTTTCACCAGGATTTTTCTATAGAATCTTTGATCAAGATGTTCAGTACTGGTAGCTGGACACCATCTAGTTCTTTGAGTCTGATAACAAAGGAAACAGTAATTTATGAAGGCAATTAGCCACATACTTTTTCTTCTTATTTCTGACTTTACCTGAAATATGCAAATGATACATCCTTGCTGGTTGGAAGCATAAAGGACTTAAAATACTTATTGATGAAGACTAAAGACCATAGCCTTCAGTATGGATTGTACTTCAATATAAAGAGAAAAACAAAATTCTCATAACTGGGCTATTAAATAATAGCATGATAAAAGGATAAAAGATGAGGCTGTAAAACCTTCATTTTGCCTTGATCCAATACCAACGTTCACAGAAGCAGCAGTCAAGAAATCAAATGATTTCTTAAGCAAATCTGCTACATAAGGCCTATTTAAATTGTTTGAGAGCAGATATCAGTTTGAGGACTAAGGTGCACAAAACTCAAGCCATGGTATTTTCAATTGCCTCATATGTATGTGGAAGTAGGACAATGAATAAGAAAGATTAGAAGAATAGATGTATTGGGTAATGCTATCAGAGAATAATATTGAAAGTACCACGAACTGTCAGAAAAACAGACAAACCAGAATGAGTTGCTGGACCTGGGGACTCCAGACCATAGTCTCAGGGGACATCAAGGTCCACTGGCATAGCAAGGTGCACAAAGACAATGCTCTACCTGCCACTTTGGTGGATAACGTCTAGGATGATAAAAGCTCCTGAGCAGCCACGTAAGGTACAGCTATTGGTCTGTACCTTGTGTGGAAGAAACAAGAGTAATGAGAATTGAAGATGTTTGGAATCAATTAGTCCAATGGACTAATGGAACATCAGTCTCCACGACTTTGAGATCAGAGAACTAGATGGTGCCTGGCTACTACTACAAACTACTCTGAAAGTGATCATATTAGAAGGTCCTCAGTATGTTGTTAGGTGCCATCGTGTCGGCACTGATTCATAGCGACCCTATGCAGAGCAGACAGAAACACTGCCCGATCCTGGGCCAACCTCAAAACTGTTGCCATGCTTGAGTCCATCGATGATGCCACCTGGCCCATCCATTTCGTTGGGAGTTTTCCTCTTTTTCTCTGACCTTCCACCTTACCAAACATGACATCCTTCTCCAGCAACTGGTCCCTCCTGACAACATGACCTAAGTAAGAGATGAAGTTGGGCCAT